TGAATTGACTTAGCTGTAGAATAGAGTAAGGCAAGGCATTAAAAAGCAGATTTAAGAAAGTGCAAAGATTGATAAGGTGTAATTATAGTGCAATGAAGGGATGTGTTACCAAAGAAGGGTTTTTAAAACTTGTTCTGTGCACATACAACTATAACTAAACTAAAAAGGAAAAAAACTTAGGCTAAACAAACCTGTAAATTAACCTAACTGGACAACTAACAATGCCTTTTTAAGTTGCATGTTAGTATATTTGAAATCATATTCACTGGGTCTGTTACAGTCCAGGCTGTGCTAAACTGCAACAGCCAGCCACAACCTCCAACCAGTAGCTTCTATCTTAATGGACATAAAACTCCTTTTGGATGTTGAACCAATTTGAATGAACTAGTCATTAAAATTCCGACTTTTTTGTGTACAATGGCCAATACATCTTGGTGGTAGTTTTTAAAGCATCTTAAACTGACCACTTTGGTGGAACAGCTGTTTAAATACCTTTCCTTTTGACTGCAGAAGATCCTTTAGTGGAAACACAAGGATGCTTTAAGCAATTGATACATTAGGTGGTGCAAATAGTCAAAAGAGGTGTTAGGCTGGGTATTTTATTAGACACTTTGGAACCATGAGAGTTCATTCTCAGAGGCCTGGGGAAAGTGTTAAGTGTTGCTTTTAGCAGCAAGATATAAACAAAAAAAATTTCCTTGAAGATAATTGATAAATAACTTTTACTAAATACTAAAAGTCAACTTTGTTTCTTCTGTTCTTGTTCTCTCAGGCAGAAGGAGCTCCTAGACTTCCTGTTGGATAATTTGGTTTTAGGTCTTCTCAGATTTTTGGAAACTGTGGTCATAAATACCATTTTACACTCTTAGTTAGTATCAATTCGTAGTAAAAATCAGTTGCTATTTATCTGTGCATAAATAATAAAAAGCTGTGAATCAGACTAGATGGTAATAATACGGATACTTGCGAACATGGAACTTTAAGTGCTAAAATAATTCCGTGATCTTCAGAGGGTTGTTTGTGGGATAGGAGCCTGGTTATGTGGGAGATATACCAAACATGGTTATCAAAAGCAGAGGAAAAAAAAGTATTTTTCTAGTTTGTGTGCAATAATTCTTTGCAGCATTTTTTTTCAGGCACTAAAGAAAAGTTAAAAGCCAGTATCTATCTCATTAGGTGCAGTTCTATGGTAGTTTAAGCTGAGCTAAGTTGGGACTGCTAAAGTCCTGTATGATTTTGCATCCTTTATTCTGCATCACATCTTATCCTGATCAAGGAGCTGAACCGTTAGAAAGTTAATCACTTTTTTAATAGGATTATTTTTCTGCTGATTTAACTCCCTGAACTGGCTAGTTACAGGACATGATTAACTGAAATGCCTCTGTTAACCTGAAGGAGGGACTGAAAATGCTTATCTATGGGCAGGATCATGGCAGTGAACAAACACCCATGAATTAAGTCTTCACAGTGTTGGGTATTGGTGTTGTGCAAGCAGTACAATAAAAAATACATAATGAAAAGCCAAATATCCTTGAACTGTGGTAACTGCAGATCAAAGTTACTAAGTTAACTCCAGATCTAACCATGGAGTACAGTTAACATGCAGTTTTCAAAACTGGGATCAAACATTTCTGGCTATAGCTGAGCTAGGTTAAAAGTCAAGCTCCTTGTTCATTTCACTGCGTGCTTGTGGTAGGTGTCCTCACAGGTTTGATGTGTAACTGAATGTGTCTTTGCTAACACTCCTAGTTCTGGCAAAACGGTCCAGACTGGAAATCCTGTGTTGATTTCTCCAGTGTATCAGGCATGATTATTTGTGAAGGTGCAAGGTAATGAGTCCTTGTTTTGGCTCGGATACAGCCAGGACACTCTCTGAAATGCGGATGGCTTTTATCCATCCCGGAGATGGATATGGACAGAAGGAGTGCTCACTGGCCTTAAGAAGTTGGGATTTTTCTTACATGTGACATAAGGTACAAGCAATTCTAGGCAGTCTAGTTTAAAACCCTGATCCTATCACTATTTTCAGTTCTGTAGAATTCCTGTAGGTTTTGTCTATATAACTGCATGGAGAACTTTATCTGCTGCGAAGTGAATATTTGCTAATTTAGGAAATTTGTATTTTTTTTTCTGATAAAAGAATGAACATTTTATTACGCTTCTTACACAGATTAGGAGTCCTGTATCAAACATACAAAATTAATGTAGAATTGCTATGATTATGCGTTTTATCAGCACTTATTTTTTCACCAGCTTGATTTGTTTCCACCTTTCTGGGTTTATTGCCCTATATCTGCATTGATGAAATCAAGTTCCGGGAAGCCTTAACTGTTTCACTGCCGTGTCAGTTGAGTTTTGCATGTCACATGGAAAGGTTTGAGATAACACAACTGAACTACTACTAAAAATAGCTGAGGAGAGTTTCAGTGGCCCATTCTACTTTTTCCTGTTTGAATGTCACTACTTTCAGTGCAGGACACTGTCTTTCCACAAATGCTTCAGTTGTTTTTTTGTAGGGTGGTTTGGTTTTTTATTGTAGCCAACATTAACGGTACTCCTGATAAGTATCTCTATCTAATTGAATGCAGAATAATATATGCTTGGTGGAATATTTGAGACAAGTCAATTTCACTGAAATGGAATATGGGAAGCAATGCTTACCACTCATGTGGACAAATTTGAATTAGTGCTTTATTGAATAAACAACATTTCGACTTTGGGTCATCTGCAGAGATAAATAGTCTTTAAACTTTGGAAATTTCAGCTTCAGTGTTGTCTTCTGTAAGCTGAAATATGTTTATGCATATCATTGTGGAAGAAATAGATCATTTCATACTCTGTTTTGCTTCTTAAGCCTGTATCAGTTGAACTATAACATGCAGTATTGCAGAGTCAGAATTTTGATGGACTTAGGGATGTAAGAATATTCATATGGAAATGTATAAATTTACTACTTTTGAGCTGACAACTTTGAGCTACTAATTTTTGATTTTTTTTTAAAATCAAATTAATTTTATAATTTGGTTTGCTGTGGGACGTGATACTTGCCCTCACAGCTTTGCACTGAGCAATTAATGCGAAGAATGACTCAAATTAAATTGAAAACTCCTATAAAGCCCCTCGTACTGATTTTTTTCCTTGTCCCTTTCATGCATGACTGCTATTACATGTCAGTTTAACAGTTCTGCAACATTTTTGATCATTTGTCCATTTTAAAAGTAAGTTTAATTTAAATTCTTCTAAGGGATATGCCTTGAGTTGTATCCTGCTAGTAGGACTGACTGTAGTCAGGTAGTGCTGAAAAATACTCAAAAATATCGTAGCTTTTTTAAATGATCAAGTTGAATTGCAATGTATAACATAAACAACTGTTGTATAGTGGTGCATTTGCAGAGGTTGACAAAAGCAAAGGGGCAGAACACTCCTAAAAATAAAGTTGATGTTCCTAAGCAGCTCAGGCTTACTGCATTTGCTAGCCCCAGCTTTTTCTTGTCTTTTTTTAAGTCACTGTTTTGTACAATATTTCACTGGCAGCTTATCTTCATATAATGCCACTGTAAATGGTCTTCCAGTAAAATCCATTAATAATACCTTGGATTTGTATTCTTGGAACATCTGCTTTCCTTCAGGAGTGATGTGTGATAATGATGCTTGTTAATTTTACTAGAAGTCATACCTCTGTGATGTC